AAGAACCCGGATGTATGCTTGGGGGCTGCAACAGGAGAGTTTCTCACTTCCTTGAACAACTCAGATTCAAGACCCTCCAACTTTTTGTTCAAAGTAGCAAGAGGCTCGGGGGCTCCACTCAGTGAGTGCGTTTTTTCTTCAAAAAAACGCACATCACTCAGAAGACTTCTTTAAGACAGGAGTTTTCAAACAACATAAGATTCAAGACCCTCCAACTCTTTGTTCCAAATAGCAAGAGGCTCGGGGGCTACACTCAGTGAGTGCGTTTTTTCTTCAAAAAAGCGCACATCACTCAGAAGACTTCTTCAAGACAGGAGTTTTCAAACAACATAAGATTTAAGACCCTCCAACTCTTTGTTCCAAATAGCAAGAGGCTCGGGGGCTACACTCAGTGAGTGCACTTTTTCTTCAAAAAAGCGCACATCACTTAGAAGACTTCTTCAAGACAGGAGTTTTCAAACAACATAAGATTCAAGACCCTCCAACTTTTTGTTCCAAATAGCAAGAGGCTCGGGGGCTACACTCAGTGAGTGCACTTTTTTCTTCAAAAAAGCGCACGTCACCAAGAAGACTTCTTCAAGACAGACCACTTCAAGACCTTACGACAAAAAGAACCCGGACCGAGCCATATCCGAGTTCTTTTTTACCTTCAACGAAGAAACAGAGCAATTTCAAGACAAGATCCTCTAGCTCCTTGTTCCAAATAGCAAGAGGCTCGAGGGCTACACCCAGATGGATGTACCTTTTTCAAAAAGCACACACCACTCGAAGATCCAAAGAAGCGCTACATGGTTTCACTCAAGAAAGCACTCGGACGACCCTTGTTCCTACTCGACAAGAGGAACAAGACGAGGCTTCCAGAGTTCAACCATGAAGTGCTCAGGGGCTTGTCGATGCGGGACCCACAGGATACCCTGCAAGGAAGGGAGAAGATCTAGTCGAACTAGGATTCTTCCTATGTAATCCTAGTAGTAATACTACCCTGTAATCCTACTAGGACTCTACATTGTAAACCGACTAGGACTCTGACCTCCTGGCTATATAAAGGAGGGCAGGGCTCCTTAGATCGGGAGGTTTTGAGAAGAACAATTGTACAACAATACAACACTTTACGATCAATCTAACTCAAGGCTAACGCCGACTGGACGTAGGGCTATTACTCGATCATAATCGAGGGCCCGAACCAGGATAAATTGACTGTCTCTTGCGTTAACCGTCGAGTTCTGCATACGCTGAAGCCCGAACAATACTGCCCCGGGTACCCCCGTGGCAGGCTATCGGTGGTGAAACATCGACACTCACCTAGCTCAATCATCCAACTATCCTATGGATTGTCCTTTGATTCATCTCTTTGGAATGATTGCAAGGAGAAGCCCATAAAGAGCAAATCTCTCTTTGGATGAAGAAACTTGGATAGAAAGAAGTTGGATCTTCAAGTTTTTGGCTATAGAAGCACTCAAATCCCAGAGCTAAGGATTTCACCTCAATCTCATGAATTATCTCTATTTTCTCATGTTTTTTGTTTAATCCCAAACCCAAAGTTACACTTAGCAAATCTAGCTCAAAATCTAGCTATCTTGAGCCTAGTGAATCACCTAAACTACCCTAAGGATGTCTTGCAAATGCATAGATCACAACACCACACATCTAGGCTTGAAACCCAAGATAACCCATGAAAAGCTATGAACATATGTTCTATCGACACCGTTCAGGGGAGCGTCCATCAGATGCGATGGAGTGTCCACCAGATCCAGAAAGTCACCCAATAGAGCCTTATACTCCTTCGGAGTGAGTCAGCGGAGAGTCTGCCATATCAAGCGGAGTGTCCGCCGAGTGTCCGCCAATTTATAGATTGAGCAATTGAAGTACCCGAGAGCACCATGTCTCCAGCGAAGAGTCTATGATCCCTCATGGAGGGTCCACTGAATTATAAACCCAGCCATAAACTGAGACCTCCCAGTTTTCACCAGAGCATCCATCACATGGTTCAGACCGTCCGATGATGGATGTAAACCCTAGAAATGCCTAAGTCCTAAACCACCGGAGTGTTCTTCGGAGCGTCCGTCAGATCGCGGAGTGTCCGTCACCACCGATGGAGAGTCCGCCAACCCTAATAGAGTCAAACCAGAACCAAGTCACCTCGAAGTCCAACCCGATGGAGAGTCCGCCACATATAGCGGAGAGTCCGTCAGTTAATAGAAAGTGTGAGATTGTTTAGGGAGCCCTGTTAGGCATCTCTTCTCAAGTTCCAAATCAAGTCTCAATCTTTACCTCCTTATCGATTATTTTCAATCTCGATCTTTGTTTCTTTTAGGGAATCGTGTAGCGTGAGGAACGTATAGAAGTCATCATCGTCAGCTTCAAATTTGTTCGAACGGCATAACCAGGCAGGCACCCCGCTATTATAAACCCTATTGTGGATACTTATCTTGTTTCATTATGAGTTATGCATTTCATATAGATTTGATTAACAAATTAATGTTGCTTCATTAAATTAGAACCACTCATTAATTAATTAGAGCCTTCATTTAATTAATAGGGTTTGGAACGCTTAATTGCTTGCTTGCTTAGTAACGTTAGAACTCGAGTATGAGAAGGGAACTCATGCTTGCGCATGTAGGATACTACATCAGGATAACTAATCACTAAAATAGATGAGGGATACAACTTATCTACTTTCCTAACCATGACTAAGGACTCACCTCAAGTTGAAATATGAACTTGATGATCAACTTGGTAATTCTTGCTCATGCGAGGGGTAGGTCACTGTGAGTGTGGGATCTCAAGTGACGTAGCTCACAGAGCAGTTAAGAACCGTGCATTGGGATACGTGAGTCCAAGTAACCACCCGTACAGACCACATGTCGCATATGGGGGCGGCAAGCTGAGTAATTGATCATGACTGGTCTATCCATGAGACTGGCAAGAAAATGGCGCCGGTTAGATGGTGGTAGCATTAACCGGGAACAAGTCAACCTTTCATGAGACATTCGGACCGGATTAGGGAAAGGTTGGAGATGTGAGGCAACCCTTACCCTCGCGCACAGGTATGGTGGTTAGTCCGGTTCTTCCGTGTGGATACAGTTGTACACCTTTGCAGAGTTTTGAAAGCCTGAAGTCCCTCAGGACGGACACTTCTGGTTGTTCCTACTTTCTATACCCATGGTAGTGTTGATAATGAAACTTGATTATGAGATGAAATATAAATGTTGATCACTTTATTATGTCACTCCTTACTACTTGACATAAATTTAACAACCATGTTAATGTTGGTTTATGAGCATGTCATCTTTAAGAAAACGCCATTGCTTTTTACGCAAATGTACAAATGCTCGATAATGTCCTTGCATCCTCCAAATATTTATATGTTGGAATTAAGTCCCTGCGATTACTGAAATATACTCATGGTGCTGCCGTTAAGTTGTTTTTGCAGGTATCTTGATTAGGTTATCTTGAGCCAATGCTCACTCTATCGATGACCAGTGGACCTTGGAACGGGCAATTCCAAGATGAGCTGCATGTTAAACTCCGATAAGATCTGAGAGAATTTTCGAAGAGTCGAACCGTAGAGAGTGAAGCATATAATCTTGTACACTTGTAACCTCTTATTTTTGTATATCAATAAACTTAGTGAATTACTTTAATCAATTTAAGTCCCTTGGTACAATGTTGCGTGTTATATGTTGGCTTGCCATTTGGGGTGTTTTGTGTCACTCGACCGATACAAAGATCCTAAAGAGAAGATGCGGATGGCATTTTCCTGGGGGCCTCGTGTTGGAGTGACAACCCCCACAATAGGTCTACCTCTGCCCTCGCCGCTCCCTTCTTCTCCTGTGTCATATTCCAGCCTCTAGGCTTCCCTCCTCACCATTATTTACCTCTCTCTGCAGTCACAAGCTCTCTTCTTTCTTGTTCCTGCTACGACCTCTGTTCGGTCTCCTTGAGCCGTCACGTGCTCTCATCTCTCTAGATCCCCAATTCTAGTTTTCTGTTATTTTCTTCACCTTTTATAACTTCTTGTTTGAATTCTCATCATTTTCTTTGTTTTTTAGCATGCATCCTCACCATCTTCATGCTGCCATTCCTGATCTAGAACTTCAATCTCAAAAAAGGTCACTTCATTTTGATGCAATTCTTGTTCAATTTTTTTTCCTTTTCTTCCTTGAATCTCTCAAATTCACCCCTCTTTTGGACATCTTGATCCTTTTAGGATGCATACGTGGCTGGCATGGACCTGCAATGCACCATTTGACACGTTTAGCGATTTAGAAATGTATTTTCAAAGTTTGTGGACCTAAGTGACACACCCTTAAAAGTTTGAGAGTCGTTGGTGCATTTAACTCTTTTCACCCTTAAAAGTTTGAGAGTCATTGGTGCATTTAACTCTTTTTACGATCTGGTGGTAGAATAAATCAAACACTTGCTACCTATTTACATACCAGGCAGTGCACCCATGATGGCCCTTTTTTTTTATTTACAATCTAAGTGGCACAGAATATAGTTCCACTCATAGGTACGTCCTGGGTCCACACGCTTCCACCAATTCGATATAGGCGCGCCAATGCTGACTCTGACTTTTTCTGCACTTGGACTGTGCTGACTCTACAGCATGTTATGGTAGTTCCTAACTTAAAAAGAATTATGTTAGGTGCTAATCCAACAACTCGTTGATTTTAAAAGTTTCTAGGAATGGAAATTTATCATACTTGCCTGTTTAAAGATCTCTTAAACCTTTTTATTCCATTATAACTCACTATGTCAGCCGCAGCTGCTGTGGCGGCGGCGTAGACCGTGGGAGTGCGAAGACGGAGTGCGAGGAGGGGAGTGAGCCGTAGAAGAGCTGGATCTCGAGCAACGAGGAAAGCTGCCGGAAGTGGTCAACACCTGTGGGATACGTGGCAATTGCTGGGCCATCATTCAGAGATGCTGGATGACAGGTGCTGGAGTATATAGTTGCGAGATTGTTTTTTTGCAGCTGCCTGCCATCACCCACGACCACGATGTCTGCCCCTCTAGGCTTGACGAGTCGCATCCTGGTAGCAATAATCCACTGCTTGGTGGCCGCAATCTCTCCGGCGTCTTGCAGTAGCTCCCTCGACCGGGGCGGCGATGTCATCGGCTTCAGCTTCCCGTCGATGGAGGGTCCGCAGTACGACGGGAGCGAGCTTATGTTCTCCTGGGATGCCGGTGTACTCGGCCGTGCTCTCCACCTCACCGCCGACGGTGTCTATGAACCGCCGGTTGTATACTCTCCAGACTCGAAGAGGTCAGCCGGCCATGTCAGCCTCTCACAAGGTATCCCACTCGCTCTCGAATCGAAACCCTTCGACTACGACGACGACGGGCGGCTATGGTCGGCGTCGTCGCAGGAGGCGTCCTTCAACACTATCTTCACCATGAGCATCAGCCGGCCGCACGGCTACAAGGCTGACGACGGCGGCCTTCTATTTGAGGTGCTGCCCCAGCCCGACGACGAACGCCATTGGGACGGCCTTGACAGGGCCATTTACTTCCCCTTGTCTACCACGGCAAGCGGCAGCAACATCTCCGTTGAGATCGGCAAGCTGGAGTACTATTACCATCAGGGGCTGTTCGGTCTGTATGTCTCCATCGTGCCACCGGCCCCGACGACGCCATACTCGACGCCGGCGAACTACACGGTGTGGATTGATTACGACGCCAAGAGGCACAACCTTTCAGTTTATGTCGACGACGAAGGGAAAGCAAAACCAGGACCAGGACAAGCCACGCTTCATTCCCCCCTCAGCATCATCGCCGTCGTCAGTGGGGTCGTCAGGAGTAGGCGGCGGGGGTGGCACAACGGCTCCCCAGACGGTAGTTCCAAGTTTGGTTTATTCGCCTCCAAGAACAGGTTATTGCCGTCATGCCAGCCCGTGGTGTATAGCTGGAACCTGACGGTGGACAGGCTCTGGTACATATCCAGCTCCGCGTCGATCACATATGACCACCGCCGCCGTCGTATGGCAAGAGTGTTTTTTTATTTGGTTCTGGTGGCGGCACCTGCTGCAGCTATTGTTTTCTTGGGCGCTTGGTGCTTAGTGTCAAGGTACAGGGCTCTCACGATGAAGCTGAAGCTTTCAAGGCGATGCGGAGGCTACCCGGAATACCCCGGGAGTTCGGGTATGCCGCCGTCAAGAAGGCCACCAGGAACTTCCACGAGAGCATGAGGCTCGGCAGTGGAGGCTTCGGTGCCGTGTACAAGGGTGCCATGATTGCCACCTGCGACGGAGACGACGGCCGCCAGCGGCTTCAGTACGTCGAGGTCGCCGTCAAGAAGTTCACGCGGAAGGAGAACAGCAGCTACGACGACTTCCTGGCCGAGGTCGCCGTCATCAATCGTCTTCGACACAGGAATATCGTCCCACTCATAGGTACGTTCTCGGTCCACAGGCTTCCAGCAGTTTCCAGGCGCCAATGCTGACTCCTTACTTTTCTCCACTTGACTATATATATGGGTGCTGGTGGTTCCACCTCTACAACAGGTTACGTTAGGTACTTAAAACAACTGTATGTTAGGTGCTAATCCAAGAACTCGTTGATTTTGAAAGTTTTTAGGAATAGAAATTTAGCATACTTGCTTGTTTAAAGATCTCTTAAACCTTTTTACTCCAATATAAGTCACTATGCAATTATTGCCTTTGTTTTCTTAACATTTGTGACTTCATTCTATTTATTATACTAAGTTACGAATTATATATTTGCTCCTTTGTATTCAAGACTCAATCCCCCAATATTTTTCTTTTCACTATATTTTAACTGGTTGTAGGGTCCACAAAGATATTTGTCTGCTCCGTTGCACAAATAAGAGTAAATTATACCGGTAGCTCCCAGACTATTATGCTATTCTTATACATGTTGTCAAACCAAAAATTTGCATATTTCGGTCCATGAAGTGTTTAAGTACCCACAATCCTGGTCCAAAGTAAACATGACATAGTCAATTAGCGAACATGACCCTCTAGCATAGATTCGATCGTGTGCGTCCACAACTGATAGTTACATGGGTGGTCCTCGAACTATTATGTGATTCACATCTACATCCTCAAACTATTTGTGATCTATTTAAATACCCCAATCCCGGTCTAAAACAACCTATTCATTGCTTCTCAGAGTTTGCTTATTATTGACATCATTGTTACCGGTTCCCATCTTATTTCAGAAAGCAATGTATTAACTCAACTTTCGAGTATGGTTGGACGTAGTCTGCTAGGCCGAACATTGTTGTCAGGTGTGTCCTAGGACACGTCACTCGTTCACTACGTTGGCAAGAAGCAAATAGGCATCAAACCACATGGTGCTACAACCTTGATGTACCCACGAAGGCCCCCGCGTTGTCCCATCCGCGGGCGACTCTGGCGGAGGCCCCGACCACACCGCCACTAGCTCCCTCCTTCCCATCCCATCCTCTACTGCTGCTAGAGCTCGCCGGCGGTTGCCCGCGCGGAGGTGACGAATGCAGCAACGGGGGCCTACACCCTCTTCCTCTACTTTATCCTCCTCGCTCCTCCATGGCTGCAGGCTGCCATGGCCGGTGGTGGTGTGACTGCGCGGCCGAGCTAGCTATAGATACATGTAGGAGATACGGCTAGACCCGCGCTCCTCCATCACGCATCTGCGCTCTGCTCGTTCTCTGGTGTAAGCTCGGCCGGGCTCGTAGGTGCGACATCAATGGCACACTAGGATCTCGTGCAGGTGCAGAGGCTACTGTTGTCTTCCCCTAGCCCGGCGCCCTTTCCTCATCCCTCTCCTTGCGGCCGCTCTTGGTGGCGGGGTTGGGCGAATTGGGTCTCCCTATGGCCAGATCTGACCAGTTGCAGGCCATGGTGGCGGAATAAAGGCCAGTCTGAACTCCCCTGGCGTTTGGTGGCTGAGCCCGGCGAGCACTCCGTTCTCCTTGGCTGGGACGCACCCCGTGCGTGTTCGGGCGGCAGGGCATTGTGCTGCAGTCGGGAGGCTCCTAGCTGGTTCAAGATGTGCCTTCCGTGGTGGCAGAAGCGGCTTGCTACTGGTGTGACGTGCCTGAGCCATGCCAGCGCAGCAGCAGCATATCGAGCGTGATACAACCTGGGGCTGATTCGGTGCCCATGAGATCCCACAGCATCACCATGGCGCTTCCAGCGGTGGTGTCGCCCACTGCCATGTGCGAGCTATCAAGGGCTCAAGGTGTTGGGGGTGTGGGCGTGCCGTCATGCAATGGATCGGCCATCCTTTTTCTGAGAAGGCGATCTATAGTTCATGGGTTCAGGAGCCTTGCTATCGACGGCGACACCCTTGGGCGCCGCTAACCTCCTTGGAGGCCTCGTTGTAGCCCCCCACCCATGTTACTTTATAATATCTCCTATTGAAAACCTAGCTCTAGATCTCTGAGGCCGAAGGCAGTGGCATACTCGATGTCGTATCCTACTTGTAGGCATCATCGTGGTGTACGCCGTCTCAGACATAATCATCAGAACTCTTCTGCAAGGTGACCGATTTGCTTGCACTTCATATATGGGGGCAGAAGCTGTTTGCTAGATGGTGTTTGCTGCCAATATATTTGCTATAATGTTCATTAGGTTCCTTGATTACATCTTCTCACCGTATGCCGGGTTAGCTGGACCATGATCCCCTCTCTTGGATCTCCTCGTTCTCCAATCATCTGCCATCCAACCCTTAAGGCTTCCTCCCCTTTAGGGCCGTAGGTGGAAGGCAATTGGATCCCAGATGAACTCCACAGAAGATGTACATCACGATTGTCGTATGTTATTTTGACTCAGTGCCTTACGTTCGCTCGTGGAAAAGGAGATAATTGGAGTTCTGTCTATTGGCGGTGCAAAATGTTCGTCGATCATCGACTTCCCTTTGCCTAGGAGTTGTACCTTTTTGTTTCTCCCCGTGGTTGTAAGTGATTGTTGTTCTTTTGTTTGTGCTCTCTTTCTCGCCTTTCTTGCTTTGTAACTCTAGTTTCATGATCCAAATTGTAACTACCATTACCGGCTTTTGGCGAAATCTGTGGTAATGAATTTTAGGTCTGGACAGTTCGTCCTCCCGGTGATCTCTAAAAAAAAACCTTGATGTACTTGGACGTGGTACTGAGCTCCTCGTAGTTGCAACATAGCGGTAAGTCGAGCATTGTGGTAGCATTGTGGACATGTCCTTCTCGGAGGGCCAAGTTGATAATTTGGATCGGATTGTAGTACTTCATTAGATCATTAGGGTCCCAACTGTGTAATTTGGAGATCTAGATGTGAATCGAATGATAGTTTAGAGATCACTTGTCTAATTATGAGTTGTAATAGGCTCATATATTAGTTTCACGTCGGAGCACCACGTTAGCAAATGGGCTATGTCGTGGCTGTTTGCGTTTTGGACCAAGATTGAGGTACTTAAATACTATAAGGACCTAAATATTCAATTTCATAGTTTAGGGACCTAGATTAGAACATGATACCTTAGTTTAGGGACAAGTGTAGTTTATCCCTCAAAGATTTGTCTCAAGAAAAAAGTTTGCTAAATGTGGTGAAATACAAATATATGTTTCAGGTTGGTGTTACGAGAATGGAGAGCTCCTTCTCATCTACCAGTACATGCCCAATGGCAGCCTGGACCAACATCTCTTCGGTGAGAAACGCCACCAGCAGCTTCCAATTCTCCAGTGGCAGACACGCTACGATGTCATCAAGGACATCGCCGCCGGCCTCCACTACGTCCACCATGAGTACGAGCGCGCCGTGCTCCACCGCGACATCAAGGCCAGCAACATCATGCTCGACGCAGACTTCCGCGGCCGCCTTGGCGACTTCGGCCTCGCCCGCGTCGTGGCCTTCGACAAGACCTCCTTCACCGACATGGGCGTCGCCGGCACCTGGGGCTTCATCGCGCCGGAGTACGCCGTCAGCCACAAGGCCACGCGCCAGACCGACGTCTACGCGTTTGGGGTGCTCGTTCTCGAGGTCGTCACCGGCAAGAGGTCGCTCGGTGCTGCGGATTCCACGTTCCCGCTGCTCATGGACTGGGTCTGGTGGCTTCATGGCGAGGGAAGGCTGTTGGAAGCCGTAGAGGATGAGCTCACCACCATGGGAGGTTTCAGCTCTGACGACAATGAGGACACCACCCGGTTGCTGCTCCTGGGTTTGGCGTGCAGCAACCCCAACCCGTCAGACCGACCGAGCATGGATCAGGTGGTGCAGGTCATCGCCAAGTCGATGCCGCCGCCTGCAGTGCCGCTAGTGAAGCCCGCTTTCGTTTGGCCACCGGAAGGAGAGCAGCTACTGCTCTCAGACAATGCCGATGATGATGACGATTTTGTGGAGTCAGATCATCGTGATTCTGACAGGAGGCACTGGGAGGAGACGGAGCACTGTGATAGCTTGGCGACGGGCATCAAACCATCATCGGAGATCACCCAGCGTAAGTCCCGTAATGTTGTTGAGACAAACATCAGTCAGGACATTGAAAAATGCGTGTAAGCACTAGGAAAATGCTTTCTAAACATCACTCAATGTTGTGCACGCATACTTCGTTTCGTCGAAGGTAACTTATCCACGATGACTATATATTCGAGGAGGCTGTTGGAGGACTAAACCTTCCATTTGGTGGAAGAATAGCTGATGGTGTAGTAGTTGTTGTTCATCCAAGCCTAGTCAGTACCGATGTCTAGTAACTGATTTATATCACATCCATAATACAACAATCTTCAAACATACATCAAACTTATTGGTAGCCGGTACCCTTCTGGGGACCCTCCTACTACGGCATTTCGCCGTCCTAACCAGTGATGTTTGCAAGAAGCTTGGTTTCGCAGGTGTTAGCGTGTGTCTGTGTCGTCACGCGAAGTCATTTGGAGAGCTCGAAAGGTGGAGGTTCACTGGGTAACCCAAGGATCCAGTGAAATCATCCTCATAAAACCCGAAGACCTAAGGCACGGTCGTGAGCCTATCCCTCAAGCTCCTGGGTTTCGATCACATACATGGGCGTGAGCCTATCCCTCAAGGTGTTCTGTGCACACGAAATCACTGGTGTGAAAGAAACCGTCGGATTGAATTTCTGTATGATAGAAGGACTAGAATGCCCGTGCCCATATTGGGATACATAGTATTCCATTTTCCTATCATGAATATAAAGGATACATAGTATTTCATTCTGTCATCAACCACTTCACTATTCCACTTTCGCTTACCAGTTCGACCACCAATCATCCAAGGACCAACATTTGGCGCCCACCCGTGCTTGTTGCTCGAACTTTCGAATAGCCCCCGAAAGAGTAAGATGATGATGGAGATCACAGAGAGATTGAAGAAAACTCAACCCATCCCACCCAACCCCGAAGATCTACGCAACACAGATGTCAACAATTAAATCGCCCCAACAAGGGCTTTAGCCGAAGGGCACCTTAATGACGATGCATTCGAAGATGAAGATGAGGACCTCGAGAACAAAGACACGTGCGAGCTGTCAACGAAAACCAAAGTTTGGTGAATTAGAAGCGTACAAGCAAGAAATAAATAAAGCTGAACAAAGAGCTGCAAAACAAAGAGATGAAGAACTGAAGAGTTGTAGAACAAACTGAACAAAGAAGTCTTCGACCTCGAGAGAAGAAACAATGACCTGAGAGGTGATGATTTTGAAGGTTGTTCCGCCAAACCCCAGCACCTTCGTGGCGAGAAATCCAAAAGGAACCCCGATAGGGCATTACCCTTATCTCATGAGCTCCAGGAAAACCCGTGGCCACCCAATTATAAATCAAAGATCTTGAGATTCGATAGTTTGTCCAATCCTTGCAGGTTCATTTGGAACTATGTGTGTTGACGATCATTTCAGCGGGAGGCAATAACAAGCACTAGCAAAATCATTCGTAATGGCAGTTTCAAAAAACAAATCATTCATAATGGCAATAGAGATGGAGATACCATCTAACTACTCTATACCACTAAGTAAACTACATCAATATATATGTTTACACCAAAATTTATAAAGAAGAACACGGGAATTTGAAGCTTCTAAGATTGTATCATCAAGGAATCGATCAGATGTGAATCGGTATCGGCTGGTTTTGACGCAGTGTCGGAATCAGCTATTTTATAGATGACGTCAGCAGACAACGTCAATGAACTACGTACGGATAGCGTCGGGGAGAATATGTCGGACTCAACAAAAAGAAAAAGATTAGAGTCCAAGTTATCTTAAGTTAAGAATATTTTCTTTTATTTCCAGAATTGTAATGAGTCGTATTTGAGTAGGATTCATGTTTAGGTTCCGGGTATAAATATTGGACCCCGGCTATTGTAAAAAGAGGAATCAATCAATACAATCACTTTTTTCGGCTTCACGTCAACCCTTAGGAGTAGGAGTACTGTAGATATCAATGAGTTCTTCAACGAGCAGGGCTGCATCGATCCGGTCAACCTCCGGCTTATCTGTGAGTACCATCACGACTTGTATCGTACTCGTAAAGCTCCATCAGCCGATTGATCTTTTACGAGTATAATATAAGTTAGTTATTGATCTGTATCATTATTTGTAAGGCTACATCAGCTGATTGATCTCTTACGAATCATAATATAGATCAAAGTTATCGATCTTGTGTTAAATAACTTATTGTTTAATACAATATCACCAGTTATCGAATCTACTGAGATTAGTAAGATTTTCCTTATTATTTTTGGCTGATTCACCAGTTATCGATCTTGTTATAATTAATGTTTTATTAATTATAACAAATCACCTGATTGAGATAGAGATAGATCGACATCATATCATATTAATTGGTCGGCTTCTAGTCTGATCACGCTTCACATCTCATGATTGACGGCTTAATTCTGCTAGATCAACTGTTTTATCTCTATTCCAATCAAGCATAGTATGCATCCAGAGACATGTTTCAATCTTAGATAAACTCACTAGTTAATGAGATCTAACCTAATGACACTACCATAGCTGCATCGATCTGGTCGAACCTCACTGGTAAGGCTTTAGATTAGAGATTATCGATTAGTGTTTTTGTTCATGATCGGGATATGTACTTTGTTTGTTTGCTATGCCTGCATCGACTATTTTAGCCGATTTGCCTGTGACTTCATACATATAGCATGTTTTTCCATGAGCCTGTCAATGTATAGACGGTTTTGTGGATTCTTTGTCTTTAGTTTGTTATTATTATCATAGCTGTATCAATTCGGTCGAACCTCACTTTGTTGGTAACATATTAGATTCAGAGCGTTTGTAGATCCATTTGTACTAGACAGTCGATTTGTTAATATGTTATATCCTTTCTAGTTAAACTCATCAGCTCATTGCTTTACACTGGTTATATCCACCTAGCTGATGATGTCTCTTATATCTGGGTGCATCGTACTTGTTATCATAAAACAATCAGCAGAAAATATGGTTGTCATTGTTTCCACACAAAATATATATTACAAACGTCGGTATGCGGATTACAAGTTTAGAACATCCTGAATTGCTTTCAATGCTTTCAGCTGAATAACATCAACTTCTCCAATTTGTTGCTTGTCTTCTTCGGCTGATCTAGGAATATTCTCAAGGTTGCTGCGGATGGCTTTACCTTCTTTGACCTTGGTCAGCATCTCCTGTTTCTTCTGTTTAATGGTATTGGATATTTGAGCCAGATTGGACTCATGGTGATCGATGGCAGCCTTCATGTTCTTCAGTTCCTTCGCAAGTTCTGCATGCTTGGCTTTTAGTTGGTTCAGCTCTGGTTCGATCATGTGGGAAGAGTTCTTTAAATTATCAATTAGCTGTGCCAGCTCTTTGGCCTCTTGTCTATTGGAGTTTTTCTTGGCCAATAAAGCTGCGCTATCAGCTAGGTTTCTCTGAGCCCTTTTCACTCTTGGAGCTTGATCCTCAATGTTGGATAAAGGTATCAGAACTTCAGCAAGATTTGAAGGCAAGTTACCCTTAATGGCTAGGAAAGTTCTTCTGATCGGATCTGCATCCTGGACCAAATCGACTATATTCCTTTTAAGCATTGGCAGCATGTCTTTTAGCCGATTCTTTATCTCTTCTGATAGAACTTCTTTGGAAGAGATGGTTGATGAGCTGATTTCATCTTCATCTATATACTCTTCAAAATTGAAAGAGTAGCTTAGAGCTGGTGAGTTAAGTGCCTACAAGTGGGTAAGGAAAAAATTTTGTTAAGAAATAACAAGTTGTTTGAAAATAAGAAGAATGAGGAGATACGGTACCTTTTCTGGGGTAGTTTCTATTTGAGGAAAAGGAACAACTGATGATGCACCAATGGTATCTGGTTGAATCGGCTCTAGATTTTCAACATTGGTATCTGCAAACATCAAGGAAGATTTTTCAATTCATGTTTGTTACATACGGATAAATGGATATATGATTTTCTTACCATCAATTGTTTGCTGAACTGGGAAATTAACAGTCCGGGTATCAATGTCAATAGGGTCGCCTTCTACTGATGGACTGTTGATGTTCTGTTCTTAAGCAGATATTTCCTTAGGTAGCATCTAATGAAGTGAGATAGTCAGGGATAAATGAAAATTGAATGAAAAATCAAGAATTTTGAAGAGATACCTCGGCAGCATCAGGGGGTAAAGTGGAAGGATTCTCATCTTCTGCTGTCTTAGAAGCATTGGTTGTTTCAATCGAAATCAGCTCCTTTTGAGGATCGACCGATGAAGGTTTGGATAGTGCTGATTTAAACACCTAGGACAACAGTTCAGCGCTCAGAGCAGATTAGGATGCAATGGTTGATAACTATGGAGAAAGAATCAGAATTAGAAATTGAATATCATTTTGGAATTCGGATGAATTATTTTACCTAAGCATTTGATGGCATCGTTCTGCGAAGTTTTTTCCCAGTAATGGTTTTCTGGGTTGTCCCTTGGGTTGCCTTGCGTTTTGAAGATTGGTATGTTACAATTGTACATACAACTTGGGTTTTCATTAGTTTCTTCAATATGGGTGCGGTTGATCACATTCTTGAGGCTGGACATGGTGGATAGTTGTCTATAGGATGCCCCTTCCTATTCGTACTTGGGGGATCAAATTCGGTGTCCTAAAAAAAGTTTGTTAGAACAATTGGCTGGGGAATTTATTGAATATTTTTTTCTAAAAAGGAATGAGAAGTTACCTCCATGTCAGAAACAAAATCTTCATCCAGAGCTATGCATATAGGATGGACTGACCCAAAGAAGAGATGTGAGTGCCATTCTTGCCACCAGGAATTAAACAGGTTAGAAGAGAAGGTGACTCTTGTCCAGTCATGCAAGCAAAAGGAAGAAAGATCTGATCCTAGTTGAAAGACTCTAGAGTCTTCTATTATTTCACTAATACCTTCTCTTGGCTTCAGTATATTCTTGAAGAACAGTTGAGGAGGCAGCTGACCAAGGCCGAATTGACGGGCCATGAAACAAGAATTGTAGAATTTGTAAGTTGGAAGATTTTCTAGGAGAAAAGAACCAGTAGCTATTTTGCCACGGCCATG